TATGACCTCACCGATCCCAATTTTCTCCATCTCCACTTTACCCCGACCTCACTGTAATGCCTTTTTTTAATTTGAAAACAACCAGATCATTCGAGAATATCTTCATAAACGTAGGCAATTGTGAGTTATTAAATTAAGAAATTAATTTTGGTCTAATTTTAATATTTACCCTAATCTCAAAACAGATAATTAGAAGAAACAAAATAAAGTGGAAGATATCCAAAATAGAAAGTAATTATTAATATTATTATTAATTATCAAATTATTCTTTGAAAAAACGAATGAGGCAAATAATGGCTTCAAACTAAAATCAGTGATTGTGAAAAATGACGAGGGGTCATTAATAACTGATTAAGTGAGGTAAAAAGAGACTTCAACAATGTTTTTAACAAATCCTGAATTATGAGTATACCGACTTAAATAGAAACGGCATGAAATTTTAAAATAAAATATTTGCAAATACTAAATTGTCTATATAATTAATAGTGTTTATTTTACGTTTCTATAGTCTCGTGAATATATACTTCTTTAATATTCTATTTTTTTGCACAAAAGCTGTACAAAACAAAATTAAAAAAGTTTTTCTATTGAAACTTTAGATATATTGTAATATACTGATGAATATTGTTCAGTTACATAAAAAATTACACGTATATATATAGATATACAAAATATCTGCAATGTATTTTTGTGATACCATCATGTATTTACTCAAAGACACGTTTTATCAATTAAAACATTTCTTTCATTATTATGCAATTTTGATTTTAATTATTTCAAATTAGCTGGTAATTTATCCAATATTACCATTTAAGCAAAAAAATATATATATAATATACATAACGTAAAATAGTGTCATACCGTGTATACCAAGGTGTTTAAATATGCCATGAAATGAAGGAATATTAAATAACTCAATTACATGAACAATGAACGAGTTCAAGTATACTGTTTAGCTATGCATACACCAAACATGTAATACGATGATTTCACTCAGTAGGATGACTGTAAAATATTATCAAAACGGTTTATAATATAATAATAATTATTATGAATAAAATCTTAATTTTGCAAAATAAGTCTTAGCGTTTTTTTTTTAAATTTAATTATCCTGAATAATTATTATTGATAGTCCCTGAAATCTTTATCTTGATATCTATAGCAATTAATATATTTTGTTTTTATAAAATAACAATAATAATCATTATTATTATTATTTCTATCATAATCTTCAAAGAATTTAAAATTGATTTAAACCCCCTTAAGGTATTTTAAACACACACATCCAATACCCAGCGATATGATTAAAAGTGATTAAAATTATACGCTTACTTCGATGTTATTTTAATGTGTACAAATATGTACTGTGTACATAATATTACTTCTAGTACCTACTCGCTACCGACATGTGTCGGTTCCTTTTAAAATATTCCATAAACACCAAAGTATATGTTAAAACCTGTATACCAGTAGGTATAGTAGTCTCTGAGCTTTAATACATTGTTAGTGTTGTTAGTTTTGTCCCTATATAAATTATAAAGTTTTATGTGTACTGAGACCCAGGGCAGACATTATTACTGGATTTATAATTAAATTATAAGCAAAATTACAACGTTACTCTTGTTAAAAACGCTATGTTTAGAGATAAGTCTTTAAAAACGTGCTGGTTCATATAAACATTGCAATTTTGATAATCATTTACATTTTTTATGCAAATATTATTAGTATTATTGTAAATATCCACCAAAACATGTATTGAACATCGCAAAACAAAGCAATTGTACTTGTTTTTTAATGTTCATTATAATATGGTACAATATATGTAGATTAGAGTTATTAAACACGTTCAAATTTAGTTTATTTTAACGAATATTTTATTTATAATAAAATAATTGTTCATACCTATTAAAGTAAAAACTAGTTTTATCCATAAAATGTATAATTCAAAGTTATCATGATATTTAAAAAAAAAAACAAGTATCATAAATTATGTTTCTGTACTGTACCTGTGACATGTATAATTATAGTTTCCCTTTCATTATATAATTAACAGCAATCTTTTTAATTTAATGAATAGCTCCTATTAATAATAATTATTATTACCGCACAGCCCTTCGTTCTTATTATTTATTGCAGTAATTTATAATAGAGTAGTTTCATTTTAGTTTCAGTACTTGTAAATATATGTTATTTTTTTAATTCATGCATTCGTTAATTAACCTATAGTACATTAATGACATTCTGTTTAAAATTCTTTGTTCAGAATATTAGGTATACAAAGAAAGATAATATGTATATTATTGTCAATAAAAACAAGTACGATTTCTTGTTCATCATAACACTATAATTTTATTTAAAAAAATAAGTAAATTTTATTTGTTCAACGAATTAAAAAGCCAAGTAAATAATTAACTATGTATATATTCTCCTGGTAGAAAGACCCTCAAATAAATTATTAAGTTCCGACTAAACTGCTATTAAATGTTAAACGAATTCATTGTAGTTGGTTATTGCAAAATAAATGCTAACTGCATGAACAATGCACAAATTAAAAGTTAACTTGGTGATTTACTTAAATATTATGCAAAACACTAAAATCCGAAACATTTAATAAAACACAAACAAAAGTTTTTTATTGTCGATTGAATTAAACAAAAAAAAAATTGTAATAATTAAATTAATGTAAAAGAGTCATTGAAATCCATTTTTTATTTGCAAAACGTTTATTTAAAGCTAAGGACTGATAATTTAATCTTTTGAAAATTAATTATCGGCACGCACTGTTTTTTTTTTTATGACTCAAGTAACAAATAAAACCTTGTTTTGGAACTATTACTATATAAAATATTAAAAAAGCATTTGTGTATTTCCTTTTATCATTTACATTTTTCCCAATTCTCATGTTAGTGTACACTGTACCTACAATGTAACCTGAAAAACATTTTACAACAGTACTTTATTTTTTTACAATTTATTTTACAATGCACGTTACTACAAATGTCAAACACACATTATCCGTATTTCTGACGGGGTTTTTATTAAACTCGTTTCACCTAGTTCTGAAGTCATATTGTGTAACATACTTTTATATTACTTACACCCAATACACCCCATAAATCACTACAAATATTGTCAGTACATAAAAATAGACACTATAAAATAATAATTAAGCTAGCTAGCAATTGTTGTCTGAAACCACGGTAATTTTTTAACAGGACGTCGGGAGTCGGGACCAGTAGGATACTTTATGAAGGATGTGTGTATAGTTTAAAAATAAATTTGTTGCAACTTTTTCAAAAAATATATTGATAGCCAATATAATTAATTTTTAAAGTAATAAGCTCACAAAAAATATAAATTTCTTTTAGGTTTTCATTAGGTAGATTACCTAAAGTGCATCTGTGTATGATTAAGTGGGGTTCATTTTTACTTGTATACAGACAAACATAAATGTAATATTTTTATCTAAATAAGATATTTAGTATACTATAATTGGAAAAAAGGTCATTCGTTCAAAGGTCTTATGTTCGGAAAAATTTTTTTCGAAAAAGTATATTTATAAAACTCCAAGTAAATATAAATATATTTACAATTTAAATAAATATATTATCATTAGTATAATTTAATAGCAATGACAGATTTTTCAAACATCATAATTAATAACATTTTAATATTTAAACAAATTTTTTTTTTTTTTAATAGCCTTTAATGGAAAATATGATGGCTCGACATTAACACACATTTAATTTGTATAATTGTTATCTATTTGTGATTATTTTATTCTTCAAATGGTTCAAGCCCAAATTACATAATATCATGAATTATATAAGTATGATGTCACGTGGCAATACACAGCTATATTTCAATAACTAGCATTTGGTTTAAATCCTACTATATTCCTGTGAAACAAACATTGTCATAAAAATTACAAATTTTTTCTTTAAAAAAAAAAAAAAAGTATTTACCGAAAAATTCAGATTGCTTGTAAAAAATATAATAACATATTTTGCTAGTTTATTTAGAAAATAGTACAATTAGGTAAAATAAAGATCACAAAGTAAAAATTATATACTGCAGTAAATTCAGAACAACATATTATATAATATGTTTAATATAAATAATATTATTTACTTAAAAAAAGAAGGGCTTTATATAAGCAATGTATATATATAGTTTTCTGTAACACACTACTACATGCACAGGGCGTTTGACCTACGTAAAATCATAAACTTAATATATAATGTTAACTTTTGACATACCATTAAGAGTAATATAATAGAACAAAGATGTTTGCATTGTTTGCAAGTACAATAATTGTTAAGCTATGAATTCCATTAAATGATAACAAAGAAAATATAATACCATGGTTTCTAAGCAACACATATGCATAACAAATAGTACAAAAGAAAAAGAAATAAACACTGTTTATTTTATAAAATAAAAAAATTACCAAATGGCGAAGAATTGGTATTGTAATTTCGAAGCTTCATTTAATTCTTTACTAATATATATTCTTTAAAAATACATAAAAAAAATGCATATAGTACTAAATTATACCTTTTAAGATATTATATTCCTCATGTTACTATACAATTAGGTATTACAAAATAGGGTTTCTTAAAAAAAAGTAATGAACATTAATATAATCATAAACAGTATTTAAGTTTTAAGTATTTAAGTAGGACTCTGTGGATAATTAAAAGTGTTTTCTTTATAATCAAAAATCAAAAACCTTATTTTTTAATTGATAAGAATACAATATAATTTGTATTCAGTATTATATTAATATAAAAACAATAATAGCCAATGAATAGTTTGAATACAAATTGTTAACATATTATACATTTACCACTTTTTCATATTTTAAGTATATGGTAACTGTAGTGAAAATATATTTAAATAGTCAAAAAAGTGAAATAATATTGAAAATGCAAAAGTAAATACTTCTAGTTTCTGGTATTTTCAAGACATTTTCAATTTTAATTTAACAATTAAAAATTAATTAATTACAATTTTCTTATAAATTAAATGCTATGTAAAAACTACAATATTATCACAATGGTGAAAAGTATTATCACACTAATTGATTAATATATTAATCAAATCCTTAGTTAAAAATGAAAAAAAGCTGTGAATCATAATATTTTAACACTATTTGCATAAAAAATCTGAACGAATAGTTCTAGACACCATTATATGAATATTCAGCTTTGTTGTGCATTATCAATTGATCATTGACAAAATAAAAGCTGTCTGATTTTGTTTCAAACGGATTATTGATCATTTCTTGAACTAAAAATATAAATAAAATATGTATCGGTGTATTTTGTTAAAATTAAATAAAACATTTGATCAAGCTAGTTACTTAATTCAGGATCCAATTTTGGAAACGTATATATGTGTTCACAAGTATTTTTACTATGTGGAATACAAAAGCCAAAGTCAAAATCAAACATCTTGAGCAATTTATCCCGGAAAAAGTGACGTTCAATCATACGAAACTTAGTCACTGGTTTACTACCAACTCTAAATTCCACACTATAAATCAAATTAAAATTGTATTAGTAATTCATTGAACAATTCACTAATAGTTGATTAGAAATAAGAACACAAAAAGCCAGTTAATTGAGTACTATTGATTGATTATATATTTATGAACATGGTATATGAGACAAAAGCATAAAGTTGTTTTTTAGTTATCTCAAACAAAAAATAACATTGGTTGTAATAACCAATTGTATTCTATAATAACTCCATATATAATCCGTCCAGTTCATCATAAGCATATTCCATTAAGGCCAATTTTTCCGTCAAAAATTACCCATTTTACTTCAATCAGTTCGATCGTTGTATTGATGCGATAAGACTTCTGAAAATATATATGAATTTTGCCCTCAAAATTCCACAAGTTTGATTTAAATTTTTTGAAAATGTTAAATCTTGTAGTGGTGTTTAAAAAATACTATTAAATGAAACTGAAAAGGTGGCCTGACCGATCTCAAGTAGACTTCACGCTAAACTCAAATTGATTTTCAGAAGTCTTATCGCATCAATACAACGATCGGACTGATTGAAGAAAAATTAGTAATTTTGCAGCATAAAATTGTACGAATCTTGAACAGTAGCCGTTTTAACCGACTTGTGCGTGTGCGTACGAGAGTCATTTCAACAATGAATTAGATGGGTGCGAGGACGGGAGGGTAAGATAACACTCACACTAATGTTCATTTACTAAGTACACAACGACAACGCGTAACAGAAAAAAAACCAGAAATGGCCAACCTACAACTCCTTAATTAAGGCCGGTACCCTATCGCCTTAATTTTACACAAAACCATAATGGGCAAACAGGCCTAAGAAGTACTAAGCGAGTTAAACAAAGATTGTTATTATTTATCAAATTGTACACTAAATTCAAATTTTACTTGTATTTGAACTGAATCCTAACAGTTATTGTTCAAAATAATAGCATAAGATATAGGTTGACACAAATTAAATTAATTGATTTAATACATACGTTGCTCCAATTAATTTCAATTTTAGAAACTTTGGAGTGAATTGATAACGTACAAATCGGCCACTGTTCAAATCGGTTTCTTCTACTTTTTTTTCTGCTGAATCTTCATTAATATATGCAAAATAACATAAAACAACAAAAAAGTTAGTAAAGGTATGTAAATAACATATAATATTTTTGTAATGCTTACCAATACCTTCGGGTTTGGTTATTTCGAATAATACAGTTCCCGAATCAAGATCACGAATTTTAAAACGAATAAAGTCTATGTTGTAAATATTAGCTTCTGGCAAACATAAATACCCTGAAATGATACATCAAATGAAACATTTTACCATTACTCTACACTTATTCTTCTCACTTACCAGTAGTAATATACGGAAATCGAAATATATCGTCTGGTGTTATACAAGTTTTTGTACGTAAATATTCTTCATGGTCTTGTGCAGCTATATAAAAATGCATTATATATATAGTACAAAAGATAAATGGCAATAAAAACTTTTTTCAACTCGAAGAAACTACTACACTATCTCAATATCATTATAAATTATTTTTTGTTTTTGTGTGGGATTTGCTCTTAATATTTATTTTTCTAAAAATTTAGCAAATCAAAATGTAAAACAAAATTTGCCACCATCATATTGAGCAAAAAATATATATTAGTAGCATAAGTTAAAATATATGGGGAAAGAAAATATTTTGAGACTTTTTTTGCTAATTTGATTTCAACTATTAATGTTTTTCAATTAAACCAATGCGTATTTTATACTAAAAAACATAATCAAATATTAAAATAGTATAATATAATGCTTACTAATGATTTCCTTATTGTTTATGGAGTTTATTTGTTTGCTAGCCATTTTAGTTTAGTTCCTATAATCTGTCCATTAAAATATAAAGTATACGAGATCCATAATTTTCTATACAAAATTGAGATCCATAATATTTGTTATGAAACTATGTTCAACTGTGACGCATCTGAAATAAAATGAGTATATAGTTAATTATTGTTCTTCTTTAGCTTTATCCCATACACAGTTGATTTAAGCGACCACTAATTATCAATATCACAGACTATATATATCTGTGACAATATTCTATCACTGTTCACTTTAACTGTATCCACCATACTCTCTCTTTATACAATCTATATCAGTAACATAAAAAATAATTTAAATAAATAAAATAATAAATTAATTTTACTTTCCAATTATTGACACTATATTATTATATGATTATTAGGTATAATAATTTCAATAAACCATACATCTAACGTATAATTTAACTTTGCATTACCTATTTTAACTTTTCAATCGAGGTATTGAAACATAGCCAAATATAGGCATTTAAAAAATGTCTCTCAAATAAAAAATACTAATCAGTGAAGTTTTTACATTGTTTCTATAAAATTTAATTTGATAGAATAATATTTCTTTATAGGCGAAACAATTTGAAACATAATTATAATTATAAAACATTATATAAATTATAGTTGTCAAAAAAAATCAACTTACAAATTGAACACCGTTAATATACACCCGCAACAATAAAACTGACGGATAGATTGAATACTCGGTACTTCTTTTCCAATTCAGAACCCTTGCAATACTACAAAAAATACAAAACGAAATAAAAAAATTAATATAGGACAAGTATAATAGGGGTCAATGGTCTAGCAAACACATTAACCCCCAAACACTACCAATATAAAATTATTTTACGTGTGTAAACTATTGTGAAGGACCAGAAGTAATAAAAAGCACAATCAATCCCTTTACTCATATCATTTTGCAACGATTGATTTTATACAAATACAACTAACGAACTCTAGTCGTCTACAATTTTTTTCATATAATTTTAATTTGTAAGGAAAAGTACAGCCAGATTATTTTATTTGTAATAAAATTATCGTAAATATATTCTAATTAACATGTGTGATGTACAGATCTATAATTTTCCCGGTTATTAAACCGGTAAAATTTTGGGGTTAGGTTAGTTTAAACGTTGTCATGGTATCGTATTTTCACCTATTACGAAAATGAAACAAGATAAAACAATTATGATCACACAAGTTTCACATTAACACAACTGAAAATTAACGAATTTTACAAAAAATAAAAAAAAATAATACTTAAGAACTATGAGATAAATAAATAGAAAGGCAGGATCATAATATAAGGTTGCAAAGAATAAAAAAGTATAAAGCCAGTACAGTGGGGACGGAGAGGTCACAGGTCTACGGATTTTTTTATAACTGAAAGTGATACAATCACTTTTAAATAAACGCTTCGATACGAATCTGTGAATAGTATGTTAAAACCAGTTATAGCGGTTTAGAGGATATCGTGGGACCAGTAAAAATGTACTTAAAATTTAATATTTAGTCTTGTGCAGGGTTGATCGTCTGTCTATAAAAATGTACTGTCATAGTCACCCATGTATCGTAATTAACAATATAATAAAAATATTTTCATTACCTGTTGACTGTTGATTCACCCACACATAGCAACCTAAAAACTGACTACGGCCAAAGTGTAAATTTACCCTATTTTTGGTGTTTTTCCTCAATAAAAAAAAAGTTTGACTACAGATTTTTGAGAAAATTGTATATGTTATAGTTCCATTTTAGATCTACCTTTGGTCTAATTTTCTGATCTAAATCTCTAAAACTTTGCTTGAAAAAGTGAAATAAAAAAACAATTTCTATCCCTGATAGGAAAAGGGTTTATGATATTATTTTGGTTAGTTAATGTTTATCGATAGTACAATGTTTGAAGAACAATTCATATAAATTTGGAACTTTTTTGACTATTTTTTAAAAAGTTATAGAGCATTGTAATTTTAAGTTGAAAAAATTGTAAATTGTTTTGGTGTTTTTCTCGTTTTTGATGGGAAAAGGGTGACTTCTTTTAAATTTTTAGGCCTATAAAGTACCTTCCAGGTATGATTTTTGATCTATAGAAAGATGTGTTCTACACGAAGAAATCAGTTCAGCGGTTTACGAGATATCGTGGGTCCAGACACAAAAATAAAAACACATCATTGTAAAACCAACACCTTGAGAGCTCCGCATCGAAGCTAAAAACTAGACGTTTTAACTTTTTGGAAGAAATTGGATTTTTTTTTTAAGAAGTTTAAATGATTAATGAATTAATAGTATTATATAAATTATTGTTTATTTTGTTACGAAATTATTATTCTGTATTATTATAGATTTACCGTGATTTACACAAACCGGCAAGATGACAAAAATGTAATTATTTAATTATTTCGCGGAGGTACGAAAGCAAACGGTTTGTCGATAACCATTTAGGGCCCAAAAACTCATGCGATTATTTTAATATCAAAACCATAGACCTATATCTTTATAGGTCTATGATTTCGGTACATCAGTGACAAGTATAAATATTTTGTCTCCAAAGTGTACCGCTACTGCCAGAACGGTATACTATAATCTAAAATTTATATTACAATTTACAGTAATGTATACCGCTTTTTGGTTTTTAGCGTTCTCATGCGGCCCAGTATTTCTTACAGGAGAAAATTGGCCACCATATTGTCAAAATGTTTAATACAAATTGTTGATATACCTAATCATTTTATCATGTTATCAGATTAGCATTCGCGTTTATCAATTTGTGTATATCTGCCATCTAGTATCATTGAAAAACATTCAAGTTAAACAAATAAGTAATAACAATATATTCGATTTTTAAGTTATAACGTCGAGCCGGCTTGTTAAGATTTAAAAAATATCTAATTGTAGTATTTAGGTGTCGACAGTATCAAAATGATCACAGAAAGTGAAAATCAAGACGATGCCCCAAAAAAAGCACTTATATACATATGTGGAGGTAACTTATTTTATAATTTATATTTGTACTTTACTTTAAATTTCAGCAAAAATACAAAATATGATAACAAAATTGTACATACATCATGTACTATGTTACAACTGTCAATTGATGTTGAAGGTTCTTACAAATTTGAATACTTTCAATACCTTTTAGTCTTCTTGTTGTTACTTCTTCCGACTTTAGCTGCTATCTAGCCTGACTCTTAACCTCTACTTAAAACTACTCCTCAACACCTTTGTACCTATACTAGCAATCCTTATATCATCATTCTCATTTATCTCTGGCTAGTTTTGTTACCTTTTTCCCTACATATTAATCACTAATACGTCTGCCTCTGCCCTTTTTATATTTTCTTCTTAAAACATGTTTCCCATTTATTTAATTATTAAGACCTATACTACTTCTTTGATTATACCTAATAATCATTCTTATCTTACCATCCCAGTTTTTATGTATTACTCATAAAATATAACTTTCTCCATTACTAAAAAAACATGATAATAGATTTTTAACTGTTAAATATAGTTGTCAGCTGCAGACATTAGGTGTTGCAAATATAGGGTGGGACAAAAGACATGCATCGGTTTTGAAGGACTGCAGAAAAAAAACTATTCAATTTAGAGAAATGAGATTTATATTGTTCAATTCAGTAGACAATCTAGTTTTTACATAAAATTTTAAAGATTATATCACTAAAATGGCGACCGTTAGCAATGATGCACTCTTGAAGGCGATTTCTGAAGTTTTCAACCGCTTATCCACACATACGGATGGGTATAGCCATTATTTCTTCCCTAATTCTCTTCTTAAGTTTTTCCAGGTTGTGTGGATGATGTTTTAAAACGTTTTCCTTTAGGTATCCCCAAATAAAAAAGATGAAAATAGTCAAATTTGGTGAGCGCGCTGGTCTGAAATTGAGACAAATGGTCCCCGAGCGCCTGGTCTCTCCGAGGGGAGATGTGGGGTGGTTTGTGCGCTCACGGTCACTATTTTAGTGATTTAATCTTTAAAACTTGATGTAAGAAACTAAATTGTCTATTGAATCCAACAATATAAACCTCATTTTTCTAAGTTAAATAGTTTTTTTTCTACAGCCCTTCAAAACCGATGCATATCTTTTGCCCCACCCTGTACATGCATGCTACACCTAAAATAATTATGGTGTTGAAAAGCTATAGCATTGCTATACCAATAAATGAAAGCTTGTTTGCCGCCCCCTTATCCTCCTGAAATAGTATCAGCAACATCAAAAATCATAGAATTTTGGTAGTTATTATAAAAATATATTGCTGTAAAACAACTTAAATTTGCACTTATTATATTTGTATATACGGGAAAAAACTAGTTTTTTTTTCTTTAAGTTTGGATAACTTACTTATTTAATTCTAATTATTTATAAGGCATAAAATTAGTTACTCTACTTTCCATTTAAATGTGAGTTTAAATGTAATCTCAAGTTATCTGTAAATAAGGACATTTTTGTTTTAGCATGTCAAGCAGAAAATGAAATGAAGCCAAAAGACCCTATAAGATGCAGAGAATGTGGTTACCGAATTATGTACAAAAAACGCACAAAAAGATGTATCCTTTTTCGTCACCCCGACAACTTAAGTTATTTGCAGTTTTTACAATAAAGTTTCCTTAAGTTTTCTTCATAAGTTAGGTTTTAGAACAGGTTATTAACCCTAGAACTCTCACCATTCGTAAATTTGACAAATACCGATAATTTTATACCGACTATTTTTAGTATGTATGTCTATTCTACCACTCATCTATCAATCATAAATATTGTTGGGTATATTTAATGATAAAATAAAAAGTTCTATTGTTATCAGTTAGTCCTTGATCTACGATTACGCAAAACCCACATCGTCAAATCGATGAATAGCTGTTTAATAGTTCGCCGAAAGGACGAAGGTTAATAAATAAGGGATGCTTTCAAAAAACACAAAATATAATTATACTTATTATTTATTTATATTATTATATTTATTTTATATTACTAATATATTAAAGAAAAGAAAACAAACAGAGTAGTTTTAACATATTTATATTAAATGTCCATTTCGACAAATTGACAAATTGTTAGAAATAAAAGGGTAGAAATAAGATTAGTTTTCTAGGGTTAAAATATAGATTGTTGATTGAGAGCAATCAGCATGACTGATCACTGAAATTCTCAGATAAACCAGGTACAAATTTTAAAAATTGAGAACTAAAATAATGAGTGTCTAACGGTTAGCTCAAAGCATAGTTGTCCAAAGGGTAAATTTCAACAACATGTCGCAAATCCAAGATGAGATCTAAGCTGTAGCTCGGTGACCTGATCCGACCATGCTTGTTAATTACTCGGTTAGGTGGTTTTTTCCTAACCGCCCGAGAATGTTTACATTAACATTGATTTTATAATAAATAGGTTGGCCAATCTACTGGTAAAATGGCAATGCCTAAGTACATTTAAACCAGGTAGGAGATATACTAGCACATTTTTCCCTTGTTGAATGCACGCTAGAGCTGCTATTTTTAAAAAAATGTCAATTTGTTTATTATAAAATCAATGACACATTTCCTTCTTTTATTCTAATAAATGTAATTGTTTTAAATAAACAAATGTACTTCCTTAACATAAATATCAATAGTGGTAGTGTTCAATGCTCGTTGAAGATGTCGCAACATTATATACACAGCAATAACTATTCCTGATATGTACAGCAATCAACAATGAGAAGGAGTTCTGGGTAAAAGAAATACTTTTTTTTTGTGGTATTTCATTATGATTTTTTTTAACAATATATTTGAAGTTTGCAAATACCGTGTTTTTTTATTTACATTCTTATTCCTATGAACTTAATCTAGCAACTTATGGTTATATATATATATATATAATAAAATAATATTTAAAACACCCTTAACCATACAATAATAAACTCTCCACGTATATGTATTTCGGCAACAATGTTGTCATCTTCAGCGCTAACAACAGACTGAGCCTCGTGAGCCTGGTTAAGGATGTTTTAAATATTATTTTATCCTATAAACTTCATATGAAATATTTAATTCTCAACAGTTGTTTCTTAAAATCGACTGAAAATATTATGTTTTAAATACACATACAATAATGTAAACTAAAATAAAAAAATCTGAACCTCTTAAAACAATGTAAGGCTATTTTACTACTACTGAAATGAAGGATTTATTTGATCTACTATATAATTTATCCAACTTGATTCATGGTAATTTTAGTTACTCATAAATTGTGATTTTAGAATAATATATCTACTTCCTTTTTTTAAAAAGAAAAACTTTATTTTAAGTATACAACTATTAAAATCATTTTGATTTTATCAAATTTCATAAGAAAATTGTGTATTAAAATTTGAACAATCAGTAAATTTTTCTGGGGAAAAAATGGACATTTAAAATAAGGACCATACACAGAAACTTTGGGTTCTTTTTAAAAATAAGGCCTTTCACGTGACTTCCATTGTCAAGTATTCCAACAAACTTACAGTAATTTTTAAAAAAGTGATTTTGAATCATTATTTTAAATAAATAATAAAATATAACAAATAATTTAAAACAAAATAAATAACCGAATGTCAATGATTAAATAAAAATAACTTATTTATCACTCCATCTAGATTAAAATTTACTTGAATAAAGTCATGGATTTATCACTAAAATACACACTCGTTGGCCTATCTGGGAGCTAGTGATGCTTATGGCAGATTAACCAACTGCAGCTACCACTGCATCACACCATGCCATTTCTTTAGAAATTGTGATTAATAAAAAAAAAAATACAATAATACTCATACTACTTAGATAGCCAATAGTTAAGTTTGACTCCATAGACAAAGTACCATTGTTGTGTCTACACCATTAGTCATTCTAAAATGTTTTAATTGTGCTGATCAATTGACAACTCAAATATTATTCCTTTTGGTAAAATGTAAATATAATAATACCAAAATGTATGTATTTTATCTATTTAAAAGCACACACTTCAATCACTACTATTTGAACTACATGATAAATTGAGAAAATGGCTCTTGCTAACCAGAAAAGACATTTACACATGTTAGTAATGTATTGGTTAATGATTTATTAGAAGACACAAAAAAAGTAATAAGTATTAATAATAAAAAAACACAATAATTAACAACAATTTTGTTTTTATTACTATATAATTAGAATTCCTAGAATATCAGGAATAGAAAATTAGACAGGTTTTTTTTAATCCCTTAGAATTTCTTTTAAATAATAATATATTACACTTATATTTTTAAACGACTAAAAACAATGGAAAAATAATTGAGTTTACTGTATTGAAGTGTCTACTGATAACCAAAAAAAATATAGTAATAATAATAAAAATAAATAAAAATAAAATAAAACAAAATGTTAACCACATTATTTATACACAACTATAATAAAATAAATAAATTTAAAGTGAGTTTTTTTCTACAGAACATGAATAATTTGAAATGATAAGAAAAAATTAACAGTTTGTTATGAATGCAAATAAACAAATGGAGTACTCGACAGTATTTTGTAAACTTGAAACTAATGAACAAATAAAATGGCAGATATTCATATAATCTTAATAATTATTGTTTACACCAGGATACACAATCAAATTACCTATACATAAACTGGAATGTTTAAACGCGTCTTAGTCAAACGCTCACTTGTAAGTTATTATTTTAGATGAACTAGTAGGTATTTTAAAAACTTTTATTTAAGTTCTATTTTAAAATTCAAACTAGCCAGTAACCGTGTGACATTTTTATTTTACAATAATTGTAAAAAAAAAAAAACAAACAAACATTAATAATACTTCTAACTATAAGTCTATGAAATTCTATAACTAAAATTTTGTGCTGAACTTTTTACTAGTTTCATAAAGTTAATATAATGTGTACATTTCTCAATTTAAGAGGATTCGCACACTGAACTAGGTTTGGATTGCAAAGTCCTTGTTATACGAGGGCTTGACACCTCGATGTTTAAGTAACATTTAAAAGTGAGGGAGGAAAGAAATTAGTAATAACTCATTGGAACATAAAATTTTAAATTAAAAATAAAAGAACACACAAAATATGACATTTGATACATGAAATGGCCATCCTTTTATTTAATTCATATATATATATAGAAATGTTTAAAATTAAGGTTTCATATTTTCCTACGTGAACAGAAGTTGTTTATGAAAGCAGGGAAGGAAGAATTACTACAATGAAGTGTGTGGCGAAATATTTGATTTCCTTTTTAACTAAAATGTTAATAGTATGATAGTATATGGTATAATTTGTTTGTATTGTTGACTGATGTCGTTTCGGTGTTCACGGTTTGTTTGTTGAACAAAAAATTTGTTTTTTTTTATTAATTTGGGGCAAATTTCTTATTTAGTGTAAAGGTAAATTGCAACAATCAGTCCATACAAGCCCAACACTTCCGCAAAAATAAGGATCAAGATCATTCCTACGAATAATCTGGGTTGTTGAGCTGTACCTCTTACACCAGCATCGCCCACAATTCCAATTGCAAATCCAGCAGCTAATCCACTGAAGCCTACTGAGAGACCGGCACCAAGATGAATGAATCCCCTAAAGAAATTAATTAAATATAATTGGTGATATATATAATTAAATTAACATACATTTTTTTTTATCACCTAGATAGTTAACTTACTTGAAGAGTGAGTATTTGGAGGGTTCTTCTAGAGCACCTGCTATCAGAACAGCAACGACGAGACCGTAAATAGCAATAATACCAGCCATGACAACTGGGATAATAGATTTCATAATAAGTTCTGGCCTCATAACAGACATGGCAGCAATACCGGTTCCTGATTTTGCAGTGCCGTAAGCAGCACCAAGAGCTGAAAGCATAGAATGATCATCACTCATCAGTATATTTCATAAAAAAATATTTAAATGTTATTTTTTTACATCTCATGATATAGTTAAAAACAAAAATTAGTTTAATTTCTGTTACGCGGTGCTGCGAGAACTAAACCCAATGTCTTTAGTACCTGTCAGACTACACTTTATAACACTGCGCCGCACACAGCCAAACAGTTATAATTTACTTTCTCATTTAAAGTAAGTATGTATAAACAATGAATCATGCTAATATACTATATAGGTCCTCATTAGTTAGAATAAAATTAAACAGAATGCAGATTTAAAAATTATTACCATAGAGCCACTGATAAAATTTAAAAATAATTGTTGGAAAGCAAAATAAACCTCCTTGAAGGTGCAACTTTAAAAAGCCTGATGGTGATTGCACTGCGGTGTTAACACTGCTCAGTCTTGCATGGGAACATTTTTTTTGCACCTATTGTGTTGATAATCTATCAAATAAAGAATAGAGAAGTGTCTAGGCTGATCTCACATATTTGGATAAAGCGCGTTTTTTCTTCTATATAAGATGAAGCTCTACAAGGACGACCCCTAGGGGTTAAAGAACAAAAAATTTCAAAAAAAAAAAAATATTAAGTTGCTGTAGTTTCATAGATATTTTAATGTATGTATAATATGCATATATAATATTTATATATTATTGACCATGTAACTTTGATATTAAATAAACAAACTTTTTTTACTATTAATGTTAACTATAATACAATTCTTAAAAAAAAAAAAAATGTCTAAAATAACAAGTCACATTTTATAATTAGTCTATGCTAATTAATTACAATTTCCCTTTCCATAAATTAAATAACATATTAAAATGAACTTATATTACATTGATTATTAAATTATTAGTGATCTATAGCATTATTTAAAAGTATAATTATTAAAAACCGGTAATAAATAAAATAGATTAAGTCAAGTATCACACATTAAGAGAAAATTGGGTGCGGCTTTACACTGACTTCAAATTGGAAAATAAGTATAACTAAACTCAAAAATTACTTCACTTTAATATTTTCCCTTAAATGAAATAAATATTCAAAATGTTTTAAAATAAAAAATGTCTGCTTTGCTTTATTTAGATTGGGAGGAAGGGAATATTGGTATTTAGCAATGCCATGAACCATGTTTTCATATTTAAGGTCTGACCTAATTGTAGCCTCGTTTCTAAAAAAGAATGCATTTGTGCAAATCACGTTTATAAAATATAGAAGTTAGGTATGTTTTTAAAAAGTAATTTGTAATTTTTTTAAACACTTGCAATATTTAATTACTGTAATAATTCAGTATATAGAAGGTAATAAGAAAATATTAGGGTTAAACCTAAAACATGATACAACGTAATGAAAGAATTGTTCATCCAAATTTTTATACTAGTATAACAACTTAGTCACTTTACCAATTGCAGATACTTAATTAAAATCATAATAGGCTTTCAATAATCAATTTTGGAGTGAGAAAATTATATGACCTTCAAATGCCGCACCCACTATTAAATTCTATTAAAATCATACTAAAGCAGTTTAGAGTAAATATTAAAATTTGAAATATTTCTAATTAAAATATATCAAGAGAGAAACTGTTATTTAGGCTGGTAAGTTAAAAAGAACAAGACAAAATAATGAATAAATTAAACTAAATTGTGGTCACGCCCGCAGCCGAAATACTAGCATTTTGTTTATTTTTTTAATTCAATGATTTTAAACACAAAATTTAATTATTAAGTTTAAAAAGAAACAACAGGTCATTATAATTTAGAGCATAACCATGCCAAGAACATATTCTACACAGTGGGTCACACCCTTATATGATAATGATGCAATTAATTCGTTTTTCAATTTAAACCATTAGAGGCCATTTAACCCAATTCACAAAATAAAAACCAAGATATCATAGAAATGCTAACCATGAGTATTTCAGTTAGTCCAACAATCTTGGATTAACTAGCTAAAATAATATTTTAAGGAGAATATAGGGCAACATTATAATAATCAATACCCATTAAAAAAAAAACCCAAAACTAAAAAGTTTAACAAATATGGAAAATAAGCATGATCGTACTTAACAAAACCATAAAATTGTATTGGTCTACGAAATTAATTATAAGTCCACTCAATGGCAATTATTATCAAAATTAGAGGCGGCGGCGGCAAGCCACGCCTAAAAACTGGCGCACTAGTGCCTAAAACGTGCTAAGTTAGAACGACCTAAATATGATAAAGCTGATGGCGGCGACCGGAAAGTTGACCACTAGGCACAGCCCTATGACAAAAATCGCAATAAGGGTCGATTTACAACAAGATAGGCCAAGGGCCGAGACGAATAGCAAACACGGCAAGTCAAGAGTGGGTGTGGCGGACGTGCAACAATATTATATGCTTAGCATTCCGCCTGTTTATCAGAAAACATTGCTGCCTATGGACTATGGTCCACAGTAACAACAAAGTCGATTAAAATTACATAATATCAAAAGTTCATAGTTGTTGTTGTATGCTTACCACTGAATATTATGGCAGATGCCGCGCCCATGACGCCGAAGAACGGCCCGTAAATTGGATTCTCAGCAGTGGCCATAATGTGTTTCTATCTTAAATTAATTTCAAATAAAAAATATTACAAACAACGAACGATTCTTGTAGACGTGGTCGTTATAATAACGCGACTAGCTTAACTTCATAAAATTTAATGAATTGTTTAGGAAAACTACCGGCCAACTGTTAGCGGGTACGTATTAAAGTAACTAATGTAATGAGTGTTACGTACACGGCGTTACGGAACCAGTCACTAACACAGGCTGCGGGCAGGCGAGTAGCGATCAGTAGACAAAAAACCGTGACAAACGTAAAATGATTGAGGGCCACGGTGCGATCAGTACGGGAAAAATTGTAGTGGTGGTCGCTGTCTGGGGAACGCGAAATGCTGTTCGGTACAAAAATGGCGGCCCGAGGCGATTGCGACCGAAGCGTCGATGGATGACCGCGAAAATTTGAAAATTATCACAAAAACAGTATTATTAGTTGAATAATAAATATCTTTATGCATAACGCCATTCATTTATCATATTTATTATTTTTTGATAACGGCAATTCAAACTATTCGTCGCTAACTATGCCCAAATATGCATTTCTTTTGATTTATGTATTATTTTATATCGCTCCTTTTTCTCTATTCCAATAGAAGATTTTATCTCTACCATTTCAATCGAAAGTAACGCAGCTAAATTTTGTTTAGTATTATTATAATTTAAGTCAATATTAATATGTTAAGACTTAAGTTTATGTAAAGTTATCAATCAAAACAAATGGATCCACGGAGGTGGTTAGCTGTTAAGCCCTCTTTGGCTTTTTTTAAATACAATTTGATATTTTTTTATAATGCATAGCTGCATTAATGATAATGAAATTAACCCCCTAAAATGTAGATTTTTAAAAAAAGTTTTTAAAATACGTTATTTAGGGATTATTTTTGACAATAATTTAAGATAATACTTAACGTAAATAACTAGATTTATTATTTAAACAATATTTATTTAAATTGTACGTATTATTTACATATATATATTTTAAAAAGATAAAAAATATTCTTCTGTCGTTGAACTCAATGCTTTTAAGATATTTAACTTAAAAAGAAATATCTTCAATGTTAAAAACTGAAAATTTGGTATTAATGTTGATGACACAAATTCTATAAAGCTGCTAGGTTAAATACAGAAATATTAATTTAGGGGAGCAGGGAGCAAGCCCGGAAATCCTCCCTCAAAGCTATATTTAACCAACGTCAGATTAGTCATCCCTTCCTCCATATTTAATTTCTAAATCTGCGCCTGGTGCCAAATTATAAACATCAAATTACTAACTAGAATTTTTTTAATACTAGTAATTGTTATTGTTATGAAGTATTGGTATATGATACATATATATAAGTTTGATTATTATATATAATTTACACAATCTGTGAATAATTATTATTTACAATAAGTGAAGTGATAATTGACTATATCATGACTTAATAACTTATTAAGTCATGAGTGACATAATGTTTAAATGAACAAGGGTCTTGATAGAAGAATTCATCCATTGATGTAAAGTAATAACTTCATCAGTACCTCTATATAAATATGATTGGAAAACTAAACGGTAAAGTAAACCTAAACGATGATATATAATTTATAAATTTTCATGGATTTGACACATTTAATAATTTGTGTTAATTGTTGAGCTGTTAAATTTACAATAAAGGCTATGTAAAAAAAAAAAAATGTGTTATCATTTATCAATAATCAATTTTAGTGGCGATAACAGTTTCTCGTAGAAGAAAAAAAAACGGGCGTAGCTGCCGCATGTGGAGGTCCATAGAGTTCGTTGTCGGGCAGCCGAACAGCTTACGTCAGGACGAACGTACAGTCGCCAGTCACCACTATTGTAACTTGTAACCAGTAACCACCACTTCCAAGTTCTATTCCAATTTCGACCGTCGCTGTCGCATTATCAGTGGTGTAATGGCGTTGTGTTTTGATAAGACACCGGCGATTTCGTCTTGGTTGCTTCACGAGCACGTAATGAATATTGGAAAATGTTATACAATTTTATTTTTCAGTTAAGTTCTAGCATAGATTAAATAATAATAACAATTATTATTATTTAATCCACCAGTGACTAGAAGATAAGCTATAGCTACAGCTCTACAGCCAGACGCCAACAAAAACGCTAACCTAAGAGAAACGCCCCTTACAAAAAAATTGGTGACGAGATAATAAAAATCGATTATTAGTATAATGTCGTAATGGTGCAATGATGATGAATGATGAATTCAGTCTATATTAACATTTAAGCTATGATCAGTCTGCGTCTGTATGTTGTCTGTTGATATGGATTAGCCGTGGACGCCTGACGGTCGGGGCCACGGTTGTGTCGTACATCAGTGTGACCACCAATGCGTAACATATGTGTATGGTTGGCACTGTCGAATAAAAAATGTAAATAAAAAAAAAACAACACGGGTAGTGGAAAAGTTCAATGAAGATAGAATCAGAAGTCGTAGTCGATTTGTCGGCGAAATCATCTTGCGTGAGCTTAACGTGTGTGACGTCCGTCTCTTTAAGGGTGACAACTGTCCGACGTCCGTCAATTGTAACACCAAAGCGTTGTGTGTCGACTTGCCTGGAGAGCGCGCCAATTCAGTGATAATCATGTTCGGACTACCTTTGCAGTTGTCGTTCCGCTGAGACCTGATCGAAGTGCAAACGTTGTCACTTAATATTTGAATGACTCCTTTACGCTACTGCGGTTTCCAGGTATGTACAGCTGTTAAATGTTAATTAGTGTAATCGTTACGGCGTACCTTTTAAACTATTCCTTGTCCACAGTACGCCGATGACTTGGTTTTTCTTTACTCGGACATGACCCCATAATAAAAATTAGGGGTCGATATGTATGGCGTTTGGGTGTTAAAATTTCATGTTTGGAGTACCTGTACCCATATAAAGTTTTTTCCGAGTCTACATTTTTGATAATACCCAAATGTTTTATATTGGTCAAATAAGCAGGAAACTGTCCATTAAGCACAATCAAACTATGTCTAAGAGACCATGTAAATGTCACCAGACGTAGAAATAAATTGTTTTGAAAAAAAAAGCTTCTCGATTAAGTCACTATGTAAACTGTCATCGATATATTATTTAATAAAGGCTACTTCAACACGTTCATTGTAGATGATGCCAATTTAAATTTAAATTTAAATGTAAATTTTAATGATAAGGTTAAAAAAAAAAATTAAAAAATTATCATTATTTTAAAGTTAGATTTGGTCTAATATTAGTATAACAAAATTGTATTTTTTTCAGGTGTAAAGTTCATTAGTAAGTATTGTGTTGCAATATCAAAATCATGCCCGCTGTTAGAGGAGATGGTATGAGAGGATTGGCAGTCTTTATTTCGGATATTAGGAATTGTAAGTACATATACCTAATAATTTTTTTGTTTGTGATGAAAATTACAAAAATCTTAATGAAAACAGTAGAAAATTTGTTGCACTTTCAATTTATTTTAATCGTAAAATATTAATACACGATTATCAATCGCAAATTTCTATTAAACAAATTAAGTTTTATTTGGATTTTTAAGAAATATTGAATAAATTATAAAATTAAATAAAGTTTTAATTATTGACATACGGTTAAATTTGTATTCAGCATATTGAAAACTAATTTTATTTGGCTATTATTTCAAATTTGGTTTTTTGTGTGAACATTATTATTTATACCTTATATGCAAGTTATATACATGTTTAATGTACTGGATAACACTTGAATATAATGATTTATTGTCTACATTTTATATTATGAAATGTTGTTTTAAAATATGCATACTCCCATAAATAATGATAATAAATTATTTTATCTTATGATGAAAAACAAATTTTAATTTTTAATTATAAATCAGTGTTAAATTATAAAAAAAAAATGCTTGATATTTTGATACAATTTTATTCATTTCATATAAGTATTTTAATTACAGTTTTGGCTTAGTAGAAATTACATCCATTGTTATCACTATTATTGAATTTTTATTTTGTAGAAATATTAAAGTACTATAATTTTCTATAATAAATTTACTATGTTTTAGGTAAAAGCAAAGAGGCTGAAATAAAAAGAATCAACAAAGAACTAGCCAATATTAGAAGCAAGTTTAAAGGAGATAAAACATTGGATGGTTATCAAAAAAAGAAATATGTTTGTAAGCTTTTGTTCATATTTTTGTTGGGCCATGATATTGATTTTGGCCACATGGAAGCTGTCAACTTGTTATCTTCAAATAAATATTCTGAAAAACAAATAGTGAGTTAGAATTTATATTGCTAATGTAGAGCACATGGGTGTATATAATTATTTATAAGGTGACCCATTTAACATAAGCTAATCATTTTTTCCCATAGACCTTATACTAATCTACCAACTGACCAATAATATGAGTATATGTATGTCTATATTTTATTTTTAATAAAAACATAGTGTGCTATAAAAATTACAATTATTAACATTTAAAAGTTTGTGTGGGAGAGGAAGTGTGTTTGAGTAGTGTGTGCAGATAAAAATAATATTACACTATACCTCTCTTCCGGACTTCACTTTTAATAACTATTAATTTCAAAACTATAACTGAAGTTAAACACCAGTCAAATAATGACCAGTTATTTGTTAATGTCTAAATTGTTGCGACCAGTCAATTAGGGTTATAGATTATAATAAATTTATATGACTGTCAGTCATATGATCAAAATTTATGAGTCTTTTTTTTAACATTGTGTGTTTTAATATTAATTGTGATTTTGTCATTGGTTATCTCAAATATCTTAAGTCTGTAGTTCTTGGATAAAAAAATCTAGAAGCTAACAACATTTGTAGTATGTACTGTTTACAATATATTTGGTTCTTTTAAAAGATATTCTAATAGATTATTATTTTTAAGATAACATTTACCAATAATGTGAAATATTCTTATAAAATTAATAAAAATATATTTAAATTTTAATTATTTAAAAAAAAGTTTATTAATAGTAATTGAAAGTAAACTATTGAATATTTTCATTATTTTTAATTAGTGACAACCCAAAACTAATCAAATATTAATTTAAATTATTAAAAATTAAGATAAATATTTTTTAACTTTTAAAATACAAATAGATAAAAAACAAAGTTTGGAAATTTTTTTCTCTTATTTCTCTATAGTAGCAGTAATATTGGAAAACGCCTGGACTTCAATTTTTAAGATTATAGCTATAACAATAATATTAAATGTGCAACCATCAATGTGTTAAAATAAATTTGTATGCCACTTAAACATTTTATTCTTCTAGGGATATTTGTTTATTTCCGTACTTGTCAACACCAATAGCGATTTGATAAAACTAATTAATCAAAGTATAAAAAATGACCTACAATCACGGTAAGTTTTTATTAACAGGGTGTTTATGGTTTTAATTTTTTAATCGTAACATAACTTAATGACATTTATGTTTGTTTTTACTAGGAACTCTATCCATGTTAATTTAGCAATGCAGTGCATTGCCAATATTGGCAGTAGGGACATGGCTGAAGCATTTGGGTATGAAATACCTAAACTTCTAGTTTCTGGGTTAGTGCTTTTAAAAGTTACATTAAATTATATCTACATAAGTATAATGTCAGATTAATAATTGTAATAATATGTTTTTGTAGCGATACTATGGACGTGGTCAAGCAATCAGCAGCCCTCTGTTTCCTACGTTTATTGCGTACTAATCCAGATGTTGTACCAATAGACTCTAATGGTGCTAGTGAATGGACATCAAGGATTGTACATTTACTAAACGATCAACATTTGGGTGTTGTCACTGCTGCTGTTTCACTTATTGATGCACTCGTAAAACGAAATCCAAAAGAATATAAAGCTTGTGTCAGTTTTGCAGTTTCAAGGCTTTCAAGGGTACAAACTGAGTGTATTTAAACTATTACGTTAATAGTTATAAATTTATGTATTATTTTGGTTTAATAGATTGTCACTGCTAGTTATACTGATCTACAAGATTACACGTATTACTTTGTTCCAGCTCCATGGTTATCAGTAAAATTACTTAGACTTTTGCAAAACTATAATACGCCAGGTATATATGCTACTAAATTTTGTGTGTTGGAATTTTTGTTTAGTTCACTCATGATTTTATAATGATTATTTAATGTAATTAATTATACAAGAGTAATCTAGTTAATACAAAGAGGGTGAGTGGTCGAGAAGTCTGCATGGAATCGGTGTACTTAACGCTCACTGTGTCCCATATAACTTATTCGTCTACCAGGTGAGAAACCATCTGATAAAAAGGCGTCACCATTCTCCTCCCCGGCAAACAGACTAACCACTCGTTCTTACTTAATAGATTGTCAAGAAACCTCTTATTTAGGGGGAGGAACCGTTGGGTCTTAATAACCCGTTATAAAACATTAATAACTAATTAAAATATCAAAATACACCTTTAATATATATATAAGGTGTATATAAATACACCTTTATTAAATAAAAATTTGAAATTAAAATCACTAAATTGTTTTATATAATATTCACATTCATCTATGTTATTTTACAATTTTTCTCCACAATATTACAATTATAAATTCATGGTGAAAAGCCAAAAGTCATAAATAGCATCTACACATTTATTGAGTGCCTATTGTTATTTTATAGCTGCTAGTTATTTTTTTTTTCAACAATGGCCTAGTTTATACTGTTACCTAAAGAAGCTATCCATTTAGTAGGTATTTCTTATCTTTAAAAAGTAAGTATTAACACCATATGTCCTGAATTTGTGTTTTATTCATTAAAGTAGTCCGTCTTTTAACATTCTCCTTATCAGTAATATTATCTCAAATGGCTGTTTACACTACGTTACCTAACAACAGCTCATCTAAAATTGACGAAGGATTGAAAAATTATGACTGTCTGATCTGTTTAAGTATAAGTACTGCAGAATATACACTGTACGACCTCGCCAAACATTAGTCGGTTATCCCATCCTATGTGCGCAGTGCAAACTAGACCATTGTCTTTTGAACCCTTGTAAATTTTCTAAAACATTTTTGACTTAATACTTTCATTCTAAACACTGATATTTGTCTTATACTAGTTTAATTTTTGGATAAATACTTTTTTTTATAGAGGACGCAGGTGTGAGAGTAAGGCTGAATGAGTGCCTAGAAACAATTTTAAACAAAGCTCAAGAAGCTCCAAAATCAAAAAAAGTGCAACATTCCAATGCTAAAAATGCTGTATTATTTGAAGCCATTAGTTTGATAATTCATAATGATAGGTAAGAATTTCTTATGTATAAAAGTTGTTTTCTTTTACCAGTGTTATAGCTAGCCTATATTATTATTAATTTGTATAGAGATATGTTATATTACTTTTTAAAAATCATATTTTGGATAAATGTAATTATACATTTATATAAAATCACCTAATGAGACCTTAATCTGATAACATTGTTTTGAAATTGAAATAAAAACTAAAAATGTTGTAAGTATGTACAATCGACAATGTGCCAATATTTAAAAACAACAAAAATTAGGTTTTTCTTAATAATGAGTTGAAAAATGTTAGCTTCTGGCCTGTGAACTGTTGATTAATTCACACATATCAACCAGGAAATTTAATACAGCATGAGTATAATTTTTCTCTTTTTTTTTTATAAAAAAAACAGTTTTTAATTATACCCATGTACAGTGAATTTGGAGGAACAAAATTAATAGGTATTAATGGGGGTACTGTCATACTCTGTTTCAGGGAAATAGAATAATAATAAATTTGGACATCAGATTTTTGAAAAAATTGTACCTAAAATATGTGAGTTGAAAATAATCAACTGAAAATGTTGATTGATTGGAAAATGTTTAATGTTTAAAAATATCCAACAAAAATTATAAAAAGAAAAGGATTTTAAAAACTATAAGTTACAATTATTTCCAAAAACGTGTTTTAACATGAGGAAAAAAAATATATCAAATTGTAAAATAACAAGTTCCCTTTTTATGTTTCCCCAACAAGGCTTTTGATGTTTTTTGGGTTTAACTATATAACTGTAATATTTTATCTAAAGAATATTCCATATGTTTTGAAGTAATCTGACTTTTTAAAAAGTTATGGCATGGCACACTGCAATTTTAAATTGAAGAAAAATATGTAAATTTTTAGTGTTTTTCTCCATTTTGATGGGGAAGGGGTGAACTTTTATAATTTATGGCTCAATAAAGTACCTTTCAGGTATAATTTGTAATCTGTAGTAGACTTCCAACATAAATAAATCTGTTCTGCAGTATAAGAAATATTGTGGGTCCAGAAACAAAAATAGAAAAATAAAAACCTGTTGTAAAAGCTTTCAGCTCTGCATTTAAGTAAAAATATATATGATTTACCACTGTAGCTATTTTATAACTAATATATAATTTTGGTTTTTTAGTGAACCAAATTTACTTGTAAGAGCTTGTAACCAGTTGGGTCAATTTTTATCTAATCGGGAAACAAATTTAAGATATTTGGCTTTAGAGTCTATGTGTCTCTTAGCCAATTCTGAATTTTCACATGAAGCTGTTAAAAAACATCAAGAAGTGGTTATATTGTCGATGAAAGTAAGCTTTCATTGTGAAAATCAAGAACATAACATAAAATATGTATATCATGTGTTGTATTTCTTATAATTAGATGGAAAAGGATGTTTCGGTCAGACAACAGGCAGTTGATTTACTTTATGCTATGTGCGATAAATCAAATTCTGAAGAAATAGTTCAAGAGATGTTAAACTATTTAGAAACTGCTGACTATTCTATAAGAGAAGAAATGGTATGCATTTTTAAACTATTAATTTAAACCATAATGACGATGACATAATAATTTGTTTGTTAGGTACTCAAAGTTGCTATTTTGGCTGAAAAATACGCAACAGACTATACGTGGTATGTGGACGTCATACTTAATTTAATTAGGATAGCAGGAGATTATGTTTCTGAAGAAGTGTGGTACCGTGTCATTCAAATTGTTATTAATAGGGATGACGTACAAGGCTACGCTGCTAAAACTGTCTTTGAGGTAAAATTGTTTTGCAATAATTATTTAGTTTTAAATATCAACTTCATTAGTGTTCTAATTCTAAAGAGGGCGAGTGGCCGAGTGGGTAAGGCGTCAGTGTATTTGGCGTTCACTGTCGCCGCTGGTGCAACACTCGGTCATGGGCGAGAAATCGTCTAGTGAAAAGGTGTCGCCATCGTCTTTTCTGGCGATGGACTGACGACCCGTCCCGAATAGCGAATTTGTTAAGAAACCATCTCATGATGGCAGCATTGTGCCTTTAATGCTTGTTAAGCTACATGAATGGTGATGATGACTTATTGTTTTATTAATAAATATAATTATATACAGGCACTTCAAGCACCTGCCTGCCATGAAAACATGGTAAAAGTAGGAGGCTATATTCTTGGAGAGTTTGGTAATTTGATTGCTGGCGATACTCGATCCGCACCAAATGTACAGTTTCAACTGCTACATTCCAAGGTACTTAATATAATTTTAAAATAAATTGTCCTAATTACTTGTTATTAATATTTTTGTTGTTTAATGTAAATAGTACCATTTGTGTTCACCGATGACTCGAGCATTGTTGTTATCAACATATGTTAAATTTATAAATTTGTTCCCTGAAGTTAAATCTACAATTCAAGAAATCTTGAAGCAAGATAGCAATTTACGAAGTGCTGATGCCGAGTTACAGCAACGAGCGTCTGAATATTTGCAGCTGTCTAAAATTGTATCTACCGATGTTTTGGTGAGTATTAAAGTTTTTCTTATTATTTTTTTAACCAAAATAATTAGTTTTCATTATTTGTTTATATGTTTTTGATCGATTGAAAACTTTTGTGTAGTACAGTATGTTTTAGTTGAATGTCTTCCTTAAAATATTTATGAATTTTTGATATCTGTTTTTAGGCTACTGTATTAGAAGAAATGCCATCTTTTCCTGAACGAGAATCTTCGATATTAGCCGTTTTAAAAAAGAAAAAACCAGGCCGTGTACCCGAGACTGAAACACAAGAAGGCCGTAGTCCCGAGCCGTCCCCGATTAACCATCAAAATAATCACGCTAATCATACAAATGTAAGAAACTTAGTGAATATTAATTTAAAATGTTGTTTAATGTTGATCAGTTTTGAGTTAAAATTGAATATAACAATATTATATTATCTATCAACATAACCTATTCATGCTTATGTATCTACATATTGTTAAAAAAAAAAAATGTGTACAAGTTCTATATTTACTTATTTTGTGTTATCTCTTCCTATAGTCAAACAGTAATTCTGCAGATTTGCTTGGTTTATCTACTCCAATTGTTACATCTACACATTCAGGTAGTAACGCTAATGTATTAGTAGACGTATTAGGGGATCTATATGGCGGTGGAGCAGCAGGTTCTAATTCGTTAAATGCCAGTCAAAATAACTATAATCCTAAGAAGTAAAAAGCAAAATTATTTTTAATTGTGTGTGTAAAAAGATAAAAATACTTTATTATGGTCCATTTAGATTTATTTGCAAGAATAACGGAGTGTTGTTTGAAAACGACCTTATTCAAGTGGGTGTTAAGTGCGAGTTCAAAAAAAACTTAGGCCGACTTGGGCTTTTTTATGGCAATAAAACCACTGTACCTTTGCAAGTATGTTTAAAATACATAAATTATAGATTATTGGTTAAAAATACTCTAATAACAATTTTGATATTTCAGAATTTCTCCACTGTCTTATCTAGTCCTCATTTATGGGTTACTAAATTAGCAATACAGATCAAACCTATTGAGCCAGTCTTAGAAGCTGGTGCACAAATACAGCAATTGGCCATCATTGAATGTATAGAAGAGTACATAGGTTTGTAAATGTTTTTATTAAAAATATATATCTTCGACGGATGGTCAAAACCAGTTAAGTCCTTTTTTTTGACCAAAAATGAGAGTTTAACTGTTTTGGATTTAGAAAAAAAATCTGATTATTAAGTAAAAACCGATAATGTCTAAAACATATTCTTGAGAAAAATGATTCATAATAAAGAGTTATCTTAAATATTATTAGTTAAAAGACTAATCAATTGCATGCAAGACAAAATTGTTTTACAAGTTTTCTTTTGAAACTTTGATAATTTGATACTGAAAAGTTGGATTTTTGGACTACATTTTGACTGCTCCCTGAATAATAAATAATGTATATATATATATATTATATTTATGTACCTAACAGAGTATTATAGTATATTTATGACTTTTAATTTTATTCAGGAACCCCTGTAATAAATGTATCATTTTTATATAATGGAGTGCCACAAAGTGTTGCTGTCAAACTTCCTGTGACATTAAACAAATTCTTTGAACCAACCGAAATGAATAGCGAATCGTTTTTTGCTCGATGGAAGAATCTTGGCAGGTAATTTTTTTTTTAACTATCACAAGTGATGGGCTAAATAATGATAATGTATTCTATAGTTAATTATATTATTAAAAATACTAAAATGTAGTAAATAACAAATAAGACATACTAAGAATAGCAGATAAATTAACTTTGAATTTTTATAAAAGGAACTTTTATATTTAATTGTAATATTTTTAAATTGGAGAGCTTTAATGACTTATATGAAAAAAAATGTCATCTCGTAGAGTAATTTTTATCTACTTATTGTTTGAAACAGGAAAATGTTTTATAGTTCACATCTTAAAGTTAACATTTAAACATTAATCTTGATGCACTAATTCAAAATTTCTTAAAAAATAAAAAGAATTTTTTTAGAAATTAAAAATTAATTTTTTTAGAACTATTAAGTTCTATAAAAAAAAATTTAAATCAGACCACTCTACAATTTGCCTTTTAAGAATGTTTTTACTATTTTTAATTTAATTACATTTTTTTAATGGAATTTTTTTAGTAATCATGATCCACAAAAATCTCAAAAAATATTTAAGGCATCCCAACCAATGGATCAGGTGTCAACAAGAACAAAACTCTCTGGTTTTGGTATGCAGCTTTTAGATGGTATAGATCCAAATCCTGATAATTTTGTGTGTGCTGGTATTGTTCATACGAAGACACAACAGATAGGTTGCTTATTACGACTAGAACCTAATAAACAAGCTCAGGTATGTATCTAATATTGTATGAATAATATATAAATACAATTATATAATGAATAATTAGCTTTTCCATCAAATTTATATTGCATACATTAACTACAACCTTTAAACTCACAAATACTTCTTTGGCTCATCTCTGCCGTTTTGCATTTAGCACGTCTCCATATGACATATTCTTTACCGTTCTTCTTTTTTTGTTTTTCAAATCTAACTTTTCTTACATTTACAAACCAACGTCTTGGACCACTTTTTGTCCAATTTTTACTTTTATTATTTACTATAGATTTAAATATTTTAATTACTTCTAATTCTGCTCAAAATGTTATCATTGTGACTCCACACGAAAGGATATTTTACCAGAAAATGTGTATCAATATTATATCTTCCTAAAAATGCTCAAGAGTAATCTTGATTAGAACAAATTGTTCATTACCTTTTTTACACATGGTACTATGTATTTTAAGTGTATAATTATTTTTAAACTGAATTAATCATGTGTGAATCATCAAAATACTGGGTCGTTGTTAGCCTGGTGGCTAGTATTTTATCATAACAACTTGTTTTTTTTTGTTAACTTCAACCAAATAACAACACAATTTTGTGTAAAAAACATTTTGAAAATATTTACAACCGATTTTGGTTAGTGCCAGCTTTCACCAATTAAGATCAGTTTTTTAAAATATAATTATTAATATTATATTAATTTAATTATTAATATATAATTTCTCTAACTATTTTTGATATTCTCCACTTGGATTTTATTTACTATTTATATACTAATTAATATAGTATCATTTTTTAAATATTTGTTAATTAACTTAAGTCGATGGATGATTTGAACCCAACCAGCTCCTAATAATTTACACATTTACATAACGAATCTGTTGTTCAACACCTACTGCCATCTTGGTTTCACTTTTAACTTTTTTAATATTCACTAATTTATCACTGTTCCACTTTCATTTGTTTCAATCTTAAAAAATTCATACAATTAGGTAGTAATGAAGTACAGTTTCCATCTCATCTTAAATGTTCTTCAAGTGAGGAAGGTCTACTTTGAACAGAATGTCATATTAAAACGTTTATAATATTATGTATAAAATAGATACTGTGTTTTTATATTTCTATATAAATCATACAGGGTGGCGGAGAATGAAAGACCACATTTGTAATAGGCGTCATAATTTTAATTTTTGAGGTAGAGGGGTGAAACAAAAAACAAGTTGTTGCTAATTTAGGGAAGTTTTATTGGATGTGAAAAAAATATTATTTGGGAAACAGAATGTCCAATAGATAGCGTTCTTGCACGGACATGCATTGTTGGAGGCCCTCACTGGTAGTGGAGACCGAAAAACCTCTTTTCCACTTAGGCGGCATCATTAAACAAAATTTCCGATATTGGGCAAACGGTAACCCAAAAAATTGCACCAATAGTCTCTTCACAGTGAAAAAGTAACGGTTTGGTGTGCATCGTTAAAAGTCGGAATAATTGGGCCTTATTTTTTTGAATATAAAGAGAGAGGGTATGCAGTGACTGTGAATTCTGAGCGTTATGAGACTGTTCCTAGATTTGTTCACCCTTTACCTAGAGGAAAACGAAATGGATACTGAAAATATCTGATTCCAACAAGACTGTGCCACTACCCACACGGCGAGAATTTCAATGGAACTCAACCGTTCAAATTTTCCCGGACGTCTGGTCTCTCGAAATAGTGACGTTCCATGGTCACCCCTCTCGCCGATTTCCCCCCCCTGCAACTTCTCCCTATGGGGGTATCTGAAGTCGAATGTTTATGTCAACAAGTCACAAACCCTTTTCGATTTAAAGGACGTAATTAGAAGTGAAATTGCATCAATTCTAGTGGAAATGTTGGAGAAAGTGATAAAAAAACTTTGGCGAGCGTCTTCAAGAATACATCCGTTCATTTAAGGACGTCATCTATCGACCATACTGTTTCACAAATAATATTTTTTTCATATCAAATAAAACTTCCCTAAATTTGCAACAACTTGTTTTTTGTTTCACCTTTCTACCTCAAAAATTGAAATTAAAGCGCCCATTACAAATGTGGTTTTTCATTCTCAGCCCCCCTGTATTTATAGCACTATGTTTTTTTTAAAAAATTTTATATTATTCATTTAACTTAAACGTATCTCTAATTGTATTTAATTAATTTTTATTTTAACAGATGTATCGTTTAACAGTAAGATCAAGTAAAGAACCTGTATCCATCGAGATTTGTGATCTCTTAGCTGACCAATTTTAAAATCTCATTTTATGATATTAGCAATGGTAAACATCTATAAATATTATTGTATAACAAATGTTTTTTGTGGTTTTGAATTATTGTTGTTTTATGCCCCCACACATATTCACCCAATGCATACATTAATATTACTACAAAAATTAAAACAACGCAATGCTATTTAATTTCAGTCATTTTGTTATTTTTATTGTCTTGTTTTTTTTATATATGCATTGTTTTAGTTTATTTTATTTGTAGTATGTGTATGCAAATAACTGGTGATTTCAGGACCCCAAAGATGTTAAACAATATTTTTAAAAAATATTTATTATGGAAATGTATTAATAGTAACTTAAAGTCAGCACTTTTTGTATTATGTTATTAACTTCCTAGTTATTTTATATTTATTTATTTATATTTATTATTTCAATATACCAAATCTATAACGATCAGAAGTATTGCGTTTGATATGTTTATTATAATTTACTGTAATATATTCAAAATTCAATATTAAATTAAAATCTAGGATACTGTTTTATCCGTTTAATCCACATTAATAATATTTGTTTCTTCAAACTAGGTTACATTTAGAAGTTACCACAAAAACCATTAAATTTATTATACTTATGCCATTGTATTAAGTAAATAAGTCTTTAAATATAATAATTACAGCAAATGTATATATTGATATTTAATAGACAATATTCTATGATCTACTATTATTTCCTATACAATTATGAATTTAAATATTTCTAATAATCATAAGCCTAGGTCTACACATAACTTATACTGTTTTAGTCACTAGGTTAGTACTACCTATTATGCCATTAAAAAATATTAAATTAATAAGTTAAAATTATGGTAATTTAAAGTAAAGTATTATATTTTGACAATAGACACAAAACTATATTATTTGGTTAAACACTATTGACTATTGATTATAAAATCATAAATCCCGCCTAGTATTTTTAATAAAATTGTTTACAATTACATTGTAGTTATGAAGTAAAACCCTATTGTCAGTATTGAAAAAACAACATAAAATTAATATAATCGTTTTATTATTTAACTTTAAAATACTATTCAATATTCATATTAGATTGCATAGAATAAAAATATGTATCTAAATTACGTATTATATTCTCTGGTCAGGATATGACAAGTCACATGTGTGCACTGGGCCAAAATAACTTCTCTAGTAAACAAGTCATGCCACCTAGTCGTCTTCTTATCGTAAGCGACTATACACTAATTTTTAGTACTTTGTGGTTGAGATACATTTTTCAGTAAGTAAGAATTTTTCTTAAAAAATGTTAATAATATTAAATTAATATCTAAAAGTAATTTATTTTTACCGGAAAAATATTATCTAATTTATTTTATTTTGAGATCTAATTTTTTTTTATAATTATACTTATTTACATTTTTTTTTTATTCCATTTAGATAACTATGTTTTATTATTATTTACATAGAATATGTGTAAAAGTAAACGTATTATTATAACATATATAATCTTTTTAGAAATTTAAATATACTATGAAATAAAAAAATTAAAAATACTATTATGTAACTTTATCGAATCTATTTATCTATCATTGTTGCATTATTTATAACTATATAGTATGACAATATATAATATACTTAACTATTGTATTATGTGATCTTACTTTATCCTAATTATTTATATCAAGTTATTATTTTTTAATATTATTATTTAAATATTTTGTAATTTTAGTAAACAAACTATTTAGATACACAATACTGAATAAAATACATTCTTCATATAATAAGGATTTTATTTATTTGTTTGTTAAATTATTTTGTATTATACTTTATTTAATTTTTTAACTTATATTTTTTAAATGTAACACAACAAAAAAAACAGTTTTTAATAAAGTGGCTGAAACGGAAAACAAAATTTAGTAGATGATTTTGTTATTATAGATGTTAAAATCCTTTTTACTATAGTACATTATCATAAAAATATTTTGTTTGTATAAATATATATTTTTTTCTTCATAAAACAATGTATATATAATTATATAAACTGCTTATATTGAATGAATTGTTTTGTAGTGTATTCTTACATATTTCCATTTTTTTCTTGCAATCATCAAAATTACAATATAAGAGAAGTTCAGGCTCAATTGGTTGAATAAACTATTAAGTTACATTATACTTAATAATTATAAATAGTTAATACTATGAACACAAAAATTAAGTCAAATAATTTGATTTTGATACAATAATCAAGTTAAAACAAATATAGTTCCAAGATTATAAAGTTGAAAAATATATTTTGCAAAACAATAATTTTAATAATAGTTAAATAACATGAATTTAAAATAAAATTATTTTATATAAAAATATACATTTAAAAATAATAAAACAAATTTGTATTATTATTGTATACTTTTTTTATCAACAATTTTATTGAGTATTATTACAATATTTTAATAATAACAAAAACACCTAACAACTACTAAGTACACTAATAATTTCAAAACTAATTATATTTGAGCCTACAACCAATTGAGAAAATATTGTTGTTGTTTATAGCCAAATATAGTTTACAGTTTTTTGTACTAGTGAAATTGTTAGTTTCATATTAAACACCAAAATAAAATGCTATAATTATTCTTAATAAGTGTTAACTACATTTAAAATAATTTAAACAAGCATTTAAAACATTGACATTTCTCTTATAATGTTTTTGAATGCATGAAAGTGGTTTGGGGTCTAGGTCACCAACATGTACGTTGATCAAATAGAATTCGTCATTAATATTGATAACATATTCATTGTCCTCCATCAATGGATTTACTTTACAAAATGTCACATATATTGAACAGTCTCGAGCAGTTGTTGCAATCAAATAGCTTTCAAATGAATCCAAACAAAGTTTATCACAAGTTGTAATGCTAGATAACAAGCGTTCAATATAATAATAATCTGATAACTCTTTAAGTTTTTGTTTATATTCTGTATATATTGATGAAAAACTTGTAGACTGCAATTTTTGCATTGACAAAATATAACTTAATACACAATTTTGTGGTAGAAAGTTTATAGAACTCAAATTGCATGACTTCCCAGAAAATGTTATATTGTTGATTGATTTTTCTACATCTGTTGTTGGTAATTTATTTAAATCTTCAGGTTGTGTAACAATTGTATATCTGTGTTTTACATTATTTTTGAATTCTTTTACCAATGCTGAAACTATTAACGTACAGAAGTCATTATTATTTTTAAAAGCAATGTTAATGATACTACCAAATTTATTAACGGCTATTGGTTCACCATCCTTAAACAGTTTTAAATTATTTTGTGGTGTTTGCAATAAACTCTGTACGGCTTTTTCCATTCTCATTAATTCTCCAGAAAACAAATCCATGGGACAATAGCTACTAATAGCATCAATTGAACCTTGAGATATTTTTAAATATTGATTCATACAATAAACACATTTTGAACCTATTCTTTCAAATTCATTAATCCAGCCTTGTTTCGGCTTTATTTCTGCACAATAAATGGATCCCACAATATAATTCTTATCAACAGTTACATTTTTAGGTAATAATAACGTATAATCTGGATATACAGTAACTAGTTTACTGCCTGCAATTTTATGCAATCTATTTTTTGGTCTAAAATGTTTGACAGATTCATTTATTTCCCTAATAGAAATATTTTCAATCAGCATTAGCTCTGGAACATTTACATATTGATTATGGAAAAACACAGATGAAACAACTTGATAAAAATTTGTTTGTAATAATAATTCTCTTTCAGCTTCAATAATGGGTATGTTTATTTCATCATGTTGTATTTTTATGATTCGTAAAACAACACAATCATCAGGTATGGACAAAACTAAATTAACATTGCCTTCACCCTTATAATACCATTTTTTTTCTTTTAAATTTAATTTTTGTATTTTATTTTTTCCAGACATGGCTTGTTAACAATTATAATATGATTAAAATTATGTCTTCAGAATAATATATAAATTATAATGTTTCACTTTGTTACTGTGTAATTGCCAAAAATTTGTCAATAGCAGCATTGAATTCCTCGGTATACCTTAAATGAATATTATGTTTTCCATTAGGAAATATTTCAAGCCTGAAACAGTTTAAAATAATGGTGTTATTAATAAAATAAAATTTTAGCAACTATAAAAATCAATATTTTTTGTAGTGGCATACACTTGGTTGTTGGAATTATTTTAAAAGTACAAATTATAATTTGTTGTTTTTTATAAATAACATACAGTGATAAGTGATAACGATTTGTAACTGTCTGTGTTGAATATGATAAAGGAAAAGCCTTAAAAAGTGTACCTTATGTACTTTTTTTAAGGAATAAAGAAGATTATTGAGTGATTCAAGTGGAGATGCAAATATACTTTTATTTAAAACATTGATCAACAGTTGATTGTTTGACCTGGTTACTATAATATAAATTTATTTAAGTAATAAATAGTAAGGACTAAATATGTTTTAATACTTTTTTACTAACTAGAATAGAAATAATAAAGAAACAAGAACTAAAATATAACTCACGATCCATATTTTATATTTTTGTGTAAATAAATTGGGTGTTCCATGGGCACTAATGGATCTTGAGCACCGTGAAGAATGAATGTAGGTGCTTGAATTTTAGATAATGCTTCACAACAAATATCTCCGTTGTTTTCTTTCAAAATTTCTTGAAAAGCATCAACCCATGCAGACCATGTTTCAGAAAAATATTTTTCCCCATACAAATCAATAAATGGTTGTTTCATTCTTGGAGACCATTTCTGAATATCTCTTATGTTTTCATACAACTTAATATCTTTTTCTGTAACATAAGCATTGCTACCCCAAACTATAACACTTTGAACTTGATCAATTGCCTTAGATGCTGCAATTAGCGCAGTAATACCACCATCACTCCAACCTACCAGTGAGTATTTATTAATATTTAACGCCTGTACAAAGAAAATTATTTTTAAAATCATTAACAAAACTTTTAAGTCAACTCATTTACTTTCATTAGCATTACTGCATATTCCGCATCTCTGTAAAAAAACCCAGATGAAAAATCTCTATCTGGTGGACGACTAAGTCCATAACCAGGTGGATCCCATGCAACAATTGTATATTTTTCATAATCAAGATTTTCAACTTGTGGTTTGAAATCAGTAAATATAGATCCTAAATAAAATGTTAAATTTTTTATAAAATTTATAATAATTTAATAAGAAAAGATACTTGTGCACATTATGACTATAAACACGTTTTTTTTAAATATTATAATCAATCTAACTTTAACACTACAAATTACCTAATGCTCCAGGTAACAAAAGCAATGTTTTAGGCCCATTACCAACTTTGAGGTAATTAATATCAATACTATTAACCTTTATTTTTTTAGTATTCTGAAAATAAATAAAATAAAATATTATCAAGTTAATTTTTGGTAATTATAGACACCGTAAAAAAGCACACACAAGTTATTCTTCCCATAAAAAAGTATTCAAAAATGAAAAATTTACATATTCATTAGTTTCAAAATGTTTGTACACTGATCAAGATGTACAAAAATTAAAAAACCTTTAGTTTTTCAAAAATCCCTTTATAATAAGTATACACTAGTACCCATAAAAGTATGCGTGTTCATTACTACAGCATACTTCTTTCTCGTAGTTGTATGGTGTCTAAAGTAGTCAAATTAGAGAATTGATCCAGATAGTTTGGGAATAATGGATAAAAGGAGAAAAAAAACAAATTAAAAATAAGAGTAGTTTATGCTGCAGCGGTAGACTGAGGGCAATTAACTTAGGACATCTGATGTTTTAGGCCTTTTGAGCTCATTAAATCCATTATTTTTATTAAAAATAATTGAGGGAGGCGGTTTTTTTATGCGATTGTGGACAAAATTGTATAATTGAGTCGCCAGATATTTTACCCTAGCCCACCCCTGTTGTGATGACTTCTTTTTTCATTTACCTACTGAGAGTATACTATAAACTATTTTGAGGATGTTTATATAATATTTGCATAAAATATAAATAGTAAATATTACTACCGAGTGGTTAAATTACTTTCAAATAAAACTTCAAAGCAGAACTTTTAAATAAAAATATCAATCATTTTATAGACAAGTAACTAAATACCCCGACTTATGAAAAAGGTAGCACCTGTGTTATATAACGATTTATAAAAATTATAATTTAAAAAATTATTATCAGTTATAACTTAAAGTTGAAGTTTATATTTTAAAAAATACTTATTTTTATTTAGTTATTTTTTATTAATAATGAAGTATTATTAGTATTACTAATGTTGTTATTACTATTACTATTACTATTGTTATTATTGTAGGCTGTCAATCATGTGTGCTCTCATGCCCTTGCAAAAATGGTGAAAAAGGTGACCCAATGACATCCGGGTGGAGGTATTTGCAACAACTGTGAAATTATTTAAATGCCTTGCCGAAAAATGGGAACATTGAAATAAAATGTGTTCAGACCAAAATAGAAATAAATGAGCAACGCACTCAAGGGGGTGTTGGGAAACTGTGTGAAAAAAGAATTGTGATATTATTTAAATACCTCGCCGAAAAACTGGAACATAAAACACGTTTATAATAATTTACAATTATTTTATTGATTTTTGGGTTTTCCTTATTAAAAAAAAACATGGCTTCAAATTTTTTTATAATGGTAACACAAAAATGTCATCAACTTTTTAAGTTGAAAATAATGTACATTTCGACTAATCAATTGGGAAATTCACAAAATTATAAAAAAAACAATAAAAATATTTTTATGTAAAAAGTAAACATTGTTGTATTTTATGAAAAAAGCATTACTCAAAACATGTATCTGGGTGAATACAAGTCAAATTCAATAGTTATAATAGTACCTTTACAATAAATGTAACTAATAAAACAAATAATATTATTTAGTTGTTTTTCCAATGAGACATGTAATATAAAATATTCAATTTTTAAAAATTTTTGAGGGTACACTATTTAAGCAACATCAAATTTTAGTAGGGTGCTTACCCAATGTCCCAGCTTATAGTAACTCTGTTATGTTATAATATGGATAATTATGTGTATAAAAAGTTCTATTAAGATGTATAATTGGTAGGTATCACTAAAAATTACAATAGCTTAATGAATGTTAATTATTTATGCTTCTAAAGTATTATAAAATTGTTTTTTAAGTTTAGCCATGGTTTATTTTTAGTAACTTTTGATACAATTTGTATAACATTGAATAATTAGTTGTATTAAGAAGACATTATACACCTAATTTTGTAGCGTTAAAACATACCTAGGCAGAATGCGTTTTACTCTTTCCATGATGGTTTTAGAGCAAAATTAATCATGACAAAAAGTCAAAAATGAAAGATGGCAAGATTTTAGAGACAATATCATATACCTTTATGATACCTAACCTAATTTTTACCATTTAAAATCAAGTTTTGTATGCAATTATTTTCAAAATCGGATAAGACATTGTTTCCAAAATGTATCTTTCAATTATATTATTGGCGTTTTTGCTCTAAAACCACTATGGACTGAGTAAGATAGATTGCAAAATAAATTAACTAACAAAAAAAAGTTCTGATTACTTAACTAATAATTACACATTACAATTTAATCTTTAAATTAAGATTTTGCAAAAAATTTTCTAACTTCGTATTATATAGGGAGTATAACGTCCTCTTAAAAATATCTACTTTAATTTCATAATTGTCGAACTAAAAATATTCTTATAGACTTGAAAACAATAATATTACCTCTAGAGATAAAAATCTTTTATTCATTACACAGAGTGGTTGAGAACGTTTTAAAAAATTTAATAGTTTAATGGACATAGTAAGCAATAAAAATTAAAACTTGTAAATTATTTTGGAAATAGTAACATGACAGGCAAAGTATTAAGCATAAGCAAAAAAAAAAGTTTGATTTTTAGTTGTTGCTTATCAACTTTATGCCGAAAATTATCACGATGTAGTTATCATAAACTATATCGGGATAACACCACTTTTCCCAAATTGCATACGTTACCAAGAATCAATTTTTCCATTTTACTCTTTTTTCTAACTACTAATAGGCAATAATTGACCTGCCGCACACTGGAGCAAAAGGTCCCCAAACTGGCAAAAAATAAATTTGAATTTAAACTACGAACAATTTAGCAGTATGTAACAATACCTTATTATATTATTTTTGTTTGTGCGATAACACGGTTAAATAGGTCACGCTATTTTAGTAACATGGTTAATTTATTGCTCGCGACCAAAATATGACATTATGGCACTATTATTATATTATATTTTTGCCAATTTTGGAGGTCTCTTGCCCCACTGTGCATCGATAAGAAATTTGTCATAGGCCTAGTTAACACCGCACACGTAGGTCACGTTACCTGACCATTATTCTGTGAGGTAAGAGTTAAAACGGTGTAAATGTATTAGTTCATTATTATAATTGGTCAGGCCAGGTCATATTTCTTTGCATTCCTCACCAATAAATGACCGTTGACAATAATAGCGTTTCTGATGTAAACAGTTTTAGCTAATAGGCCGTCATTACGAATTGAATTTTATGATAACATTTAAAACATAAAAGTGATATATTATGTTTTTACATTCAATTATTCAAATACGTTCATAATATTATAGTATTGTTAATATTATTTCAAGTTATAACAGTTATTAATTTATTATAATGGGCTTGAGACAAATTTAGGACACATGGTGTAAACATAAAACGTTTATAAGTAAGGCACCTATTGTAAGGTGTATACCTATTATAGTTATAACAGTGTAAACTAGGCCAAAGACATTGGTAATTTATGCAATTTGGGAAAAGTGGTAGCAATCCGGAAACATTTTTGAGAAAAAAAATTTATATCATCTGCTCAAGGGCAGTTAACTTTAAATTTTATTTCTTAAGTATGTAAAATAAGTAGTTAGCAACATTTCAAAATCTTAAAGGGTGGTTTTCTTAGAAACCCAAGTTCCGAAAATAAATTAAACAATAACCAAATATAACTGCCAATTTTCAAGATAGGAGAACGATTCTTTTTTTCGTATTATTAACCCAACATTCACAATTTATATTTTAATTCTGACATTTTATTGCTTTTTTCTACTTTCATACATGCGATTCAGTTAGGTAAGGGACTCGATGAGGCGACGTCTCAGTTCGCGCGGCGCGTGATGGCGAAAAAGGAGGAGACGGTAAGAGTCTGCAGAGAACAGGGGTAGCCCGGCGGGGCTGAAAAACCAAGGTGATGCTCGGCGGCCGATGCGGAACCGAGCAGATAAGCAAATGATGTACATAATGCATATAGTATTTAGCAGTTAAATGTGGACCGAAGGCTGCAACCTTTTCTGAATTTTCAGGAAGTATAAATTATTAATTACAATTCAGTAGCACTTCAGTAGTACCAAATTTAATAGGTGTAATTGTATAAATATAATCATGATTACAAATGGAAGGATTGTCGTTTGAGTTTTCTAACTAAAGTTTAGACTAAACTAGAGTTTCCTAACTCGCAGCCGGTTTTACCAACTATTGTTAAATACACTCTTAAGTCTTAACACAATGTTGTTAGTTAACAATTCATATTTCATTTAAATTTAACATCCGGTTAAATTAAATGAGCTACACATAAGACCATAACATTATTATTGTTAAATTCTATTTGTTAAGTTAACAAAACGTTAGTTGGGTTACCAAAGCGGACCTCGATTGCAACGTTCTCATTGGTTATCAAGATATGTGATAACGGATAAGTGATTGTATTTTGTAACTTTCTATATACCTACTCAGTTTGAATTAGAAAATAGAAAACAAATTAATCTCACCGTTTGTAAAGTCGCAGTTAACTTCTATTTCATAATTGTTTGCTCTGCTAAAATAATAAAGTGATAACTTTTCTATTTGATTGTTGTTAGTACGACAATATAATTGATGTATATTTTTAGATCATTGAATTTATGATAATTTGCTGATAGAAACATTAATAGCTTATACTTATTTATTTCAAACATCATTTATTACTAATTATATTAAGTACAATAAAACGAATAATCCGAAATCACAATGTAGTACCGGTTAGTGTTCTTAAAATGCAAATACGTGTTATTTATTTTATAAGAAACAACTAACTCAACAAAAGTCTTGCACTAAAATATAAAAAATGTACCCTATCTTACGGTATTTAAAATATGTGTAAAATTGTTATACATTTTATATAAACTTTATAAAATCATGAATTTGTTTTTTAATTTTTTAGCTAATTAAAAATTTGAAAAACAATAATTGTTTAAGGGGATTTCATGTTTTTAAGGAGCTTTGTATAGACAATATTAAAAAAAAAAAAAGAGATTTTAATAATTTTCGACCATGTCAATTAATTTACCTGTTAATTTGTATAAGCTTCAAGGTATTATAATTAATACAAATAATTTTTTCTATGAGTAAAAGCCATGTTGGCTTTATTTTAGACGAAAAAGCCAGACAAAATTTCAACTACATAATATGATGCGGTCCAATTAAATTTTTTTTGAAGAGATTCGAGTTCTCAACTATGTATTATGCAGGAAGCCGATTTTCATTTAAACATTTCAATTTCTTGTAAATAAATAAATAAATTAAATTTTCAATTTTTTTCAATTTTAAAACCCAATTTTTTTTTACATAAAATAGAAATCGTGTACCTTACCAGAATTAAAATCGGACTGTCCTAAGTCTGTCTGGCTCTTCGGTCTAAAACATCTAAAAAGCAGATCGTTATGTTAGATCATTAAATTGTCTACAAAGAATGTTTGTACACATTTTTCCAAAAATGCATTATTATACGAGAAAAAATTTAACATAACTTTTTTCATTTATTCGTATAAACTGGTTTTCTACGGTTATTTAAATATATTTGATAAACGAGTAGAACGTGTTTAATATATTTTTTATAAATAAAAATTAATTAATCAAAGACAATATCAATACAAATCAGTCTTAATAATAAGTCAATAAGGTTGACCAGGATCTAATTTTTTTACGGTAATTATATTTTATATCAAAGAAGATTTTTTTTATTTAAATATGGCTTCGACTACTAGGTCATTAGCCTTTAGTTTACATTTACATTTACATTTTTTAGTACAATATTGAATTTTACAGTTTATTACATAAGTTAATTAATTTAATGAATTTTAGAATGTTTTCTTCGTTGTTTTCTTTTAGTGCGTTTTGAATGGTTGGGTTAGGTTGTTTGGCTGGTTGAGTATGTGGCGTTCGTTGTTGTAGTTGTTGCATTCTATAATGATGTGTTTCATGGAGATTGGTTTATTGCAGGTAGAACATATTGGCTGAGGTTCGTGGTTGAGTAGGTGTGCGTGGGTAAGGTGGCTGTGTCCAATTCGGGTTCTTGTAAGTATTATGTCCTGTCTTCTCGTCAGTGATACGTTTGAAAGCCATTTTTTAGTTGTTGTTTTAATTTCTCTTAGTTTATTACTGGGTGGAGTGTCTTTCCATATATTTTGCCATTTTTGGTGGAATCTTTTGGTGATTTGATGTGTAACGTCATTTGAAGTGATTTCTACCAACATGAAGATGATTTATTTTATACTGTTCCCAGTTTAACAATTTCTATAATATATCTTTTTAGCGATCTATTAGTAAAAAATGGACGATCGTATGAAATGTTTTTTTATTATCTATTTTGTAGGCAATTTAATTTTATAAAATAAAAAATTAAATAATAAATTTAAAAGTTTTATACTTAATATATTTAATAGACATGCATTAAGGAAGGAGGGGCTGGTCTCAGCCGTCCATCTACAACGTACCAGGGACGTGAGATTTATAAATTTATTAGCCATTATTTGTCAATATATAATTATTTGACGTCATAAGGTTACTATAGTAAGTAGGTATTATTATTATAATAATATACATGTATGTTATTCTAAGTTTTTTGTCTACTGAGTTTTATTTCTGAAAAACAGGACTCAAACCGTGGAGGTAAGTCGTACCAATTATTATAGTCTTGCTTTGATAATGGTATTAGTTGAAACACGCTTTATTATTTCAGGAAAAACGGCAGATAGCAATTGTATATTGTACGCAGATTGAATACTTACATTCAACAGAAACGTAAGTCGTACCATTGTATTATTCCATTGCACAGACCGAACCAGTGATCCGATAAGCAATCTAAAAACAGATGAAATTTGAATTCACCATTTGAGTTTACTTACGATTGGTCAGGACACTCTTTTAACTTTAACCCTTTCCAAATTTGAAATAATGTTCTAACGTGTTTTATACATAGTAGGAATAAGATATCAAAAAAGTACCCTGACCCTTAATAAGTAAACTTTATGACGAATTCAAATCTGTTTTCAGATTACTTATCGGATCACTGGTTCAGCCTGTGTGATGCAACAAAAAATGTATGTTATATTAACTAAAATGGTTTTTACTCATAGACAAAATAATTTAAATTAGAAATAATACCACGAAGCTTATACAAATTAACCGGTAAATTAATTGACATGATCGAAATTTATTAAAACAGAAAAAATGTTCATGCTTAATAGAAATGTGTGTAACATTAAATGTGAGTTATTGAAGTAATGTTTACCATTGTCCAATACCGAAATATTGATAGCATCCAATTTCACTATTGCTCTAACGTCATCCATCAATTCAAGTGCATTCAGTGTTTCATCGCGGTGAAAAAACTTATTTATAAATTCCATTGCTGTTTGCCGGTGGTCTTCACTGGTGATAGAACTATAGAAGCTATCACCAGTGAAACCAAGTGCTAAACCAATCATTTGCGGTACTGGTCATAAGTAGATAGTAAAATGCCGGTTCTGTGCCGAATGGAATGTGCCGATTCATCATAATTTTAAAATTTGATGCATTTAATGACATCACATTCCATTCGGCACAGAAC